CTCTTCATTCCATCTCTAGCCCTGCAGGGAAGATTCCTATTGAGGAGTTTAATTTTCTTCCCCTCCCTACCCAATTAAACAAGCAAATGAACTAATTGGTGTTTTGCCCTCCCAGCTCTGGAGAGAGAGCAAGGATCAGAAAGGGCAAGATGGGAACTGTGAGATTGGATGGGGGTCTTGGGGGGAAACCAAGTCAGTCCAGCACTGAGAAGCTGAAAAACCCTGAGGGCCGTGGTCTAAGCCCTCCTCTGTCTGGACCTGCCTAGCCACTGTCCCAGGGGCATTAGCTCAATGGGTGGGACGTGGGGTTGTGGTACATAGCCCCTCTCAGCTTGCTCTATGGTGAGTAGGGCAAGTCACTCAGTCTCTCTGGGCCTCAGGAAGAAAAGAGCCTGAGAGGTTTGTTGAATAATTCTCAGTCTGAGCTGGAGCCACTGGCTGTACCTGAAGACATGGACATCATGGTGCTGCTGGAACTGAGCCTGTGGCCAGTGGCACGCACTGTTTTCTGGTCAGTGGCACGCACTGTTTTCTGGCCGACCCTGCTGGCCCAGGCTTGGCATGTGAGGTCATGGAACAGTGCCAGGCCTTTTTCTTCCCTCTGCTGGGCTCCTTTTCTCACCTCTGAGCTTTACAATACCCAGGGAGGAAAGGATGGAGGAACAATCATATATACTCCCCACACCATATTATATGTAATTAAACATGGAGAGCACCTGAATAGCGATGGTAGCTTGCAGCTGGCGACAAACATCATGAAGCCAACTTTCCTAAAGCAGGATAGGCAAGTGCCTGCCTACCTCTCTGCTTCATCTTTATGGCCTGAAGGAGGGGGTGTCTGGCTCCTAGTGAGTCTGCAGCCCCTCTCTGAGTGGCTCATGAAGGTAATCAGAAGGAGGACTCTGTGAAGGCTCTGGTCCCAGCATCCATCCACAGCTGGTGGGCTGTGGCCTTGTTGAGGGAACAATGTCTTCCGAGAGGGGTGGCCCGGTGTGAGAGTCATGGGACCCAGGGTCGAGCTGTGTATCACAGGGATTCAGGAGCCCCAGACTCCTCCTTGGGCCCTTGATGCTCTGCCAGCACCTTCTCTCCTCTCCTTTCACAGACCTCTTGGGCTGGGATACTGCAATCAGTTAAATAAACCTAGTCCTCTCTCTCTAAGCCTTAGCATGTTAGCACCCACCATATTCCCGTTCTCTTCTTTATCCTCAAGCCTTCCTGCTTCCACTCCTGCAGTCTTCCAACTGCCTTTTTTTTTTTATTTAGCAAGCATTTACTGAGCATCTACTGTGTTCCAGGCACTGTTCTGGCACTTGACAACAGAAGCCCTTCCTCTAAACCCCACTGTTTCCCATTCACCTCACTTCTGCCTCCTGGAGAGTTCTCAGGTATGGCTGTCTCCAATGCCATCATCCTGGTCCAAGCCACCATCATCACCTGAACTGCTGCAACAGCTTAACTAGCCTCCTTGCCCCCAGTCTTGTCCCCTCCAGGCCGTTCTCCACTCTTGAGCCCGAGTGATCTTTCTAAAAACAGATCTGATCAGCCCTCCTTAAAATCTTCCAGGAGATTCTTACAGCCCTCAGCAAAGCATCTGAGCTCTGAGGCTCTGAGGCCCTGCTCATTCTGGAGGTAGTGATCAGTACTTTCCACAGCCTGTCATATACAGCAGCCTGGAGTATTCGAAGTTCATGATGGTAAGTGGCAGAGTGGGGCACTGGAACCTGCATCTGTGTGACATTCCTCGATCAGGCTGTGGGGTCCTCTTTGTAATCCTAATCTCTCATAAGGCATGGAGCCACCATCCCCCATTACCCTTTCCAGACACATCTCTACCTATGCTCCACCCCATCCCTGGTTGCTTTGTCTCTGAGCCTCCCCCTTGACAGCTGTGAGGAGGGGGCCCAGTGCTGGCCCCAGCTGGAGCTCTGGCAT